TCCGTTTTCCATAGAAGCTCTGTCGGATTTTTCCATAGAGGCTCGGTCCGTTTTCCATAGAGGTTCGGTGGTTTTCGTAGAGGCTCGGTCCGTTTTCCATAGAGGCTCTGTCGGATTTTTCCATAGAGGCTCGGTCCGTTTTCCATAGAGGTTCGGTCGGTTTTCCATAGAGGCTCGGTCCGTTTTCCATAGAGGCTCTGTCGGATTTTTCCATAGAGGCTCGGTCCGTTTTCCATAGAGGTTCGGTCGGTTTTCCATAGAGGCTCGGTCCGTTTCCCATAGAGGCTGGTTCAAGGCTCTTGGTCCTTTCCATAGAGGCTGGGTCATTTTTCCGTACAGGCTTGTTCGGTTTTTACATAGAGGCTTGGTCAGTTATCCTTATAGGCTTGTTAGGAATATCCAGCTATGACTGTTTTCTTTGTAGATTATAACAATATTGATTTAACATTTAAAAACTTTTGATTATCAATGGAATGAAGAAAGTAGGATCAAGCTGTTCAAAACTGATTTAATGAGAGGATTCAGAGGGGAGGGTGGTAAGAAGCCACCCAAAATCAAACGACCCAAGACAAACAAGGGAGCAATTTTTCTGGATGAGACCAATCGATCCAGTCAACAGTTTCTTCAAGCCAACAACCAACTGCCTAGTTGCCAATCGGTCACTCCAACTCAGCAAACAAACCTAGACCATGACAATCCACCGGACCTTTCCGCAAACATTGATATTCAACAAAAAAACCTGAAGAAGAACCTGAACCCATCGATCCTCAAGTACAAAGGCTTGCAGAATACCTTCAGAGCCAAAACTATAGGCGCAGGAAAGAATTAGAGGAGAAAAATTGGGAGGAGGTATATGAATCAATGTTTTCTAGTTTCTTTCAGTGTTCCGCTAAGACATCAACATGGGGTGATCTCAAAAAATGGGATCATGACTGGAAATCCCATTGTGAGTGTCATGCTCATCGGAGGAGGGAAATTGTCCTTGTAGATATTTTAAGTATGTTGTCTGTTCATTTCCTCTTTATAACAAATGACTTGACTGATTTCATTCTTTTGAATTTGAATTTATTAGCCCGAAAGCAGTCTCAAGTTGATTTTTGTCAATGCCAACACAACAAAGTTTGGCTTATTCAGATGGGCTACATTGGAGGCTCCCCTAAATATCCCAAGAGTGCTTTCTCCATTAGGCTCCTCAGACTTCACCACATCATGTGGAAACATAGTGCAGTGCCCATCTCTCTATTCTCACGAGCTGTTGATGAGTTTTTGGATGCACACAATCCTTTGATATTGGTTCCAAGTAATAAAAACCAATCTGATTATGCATTCACTGTAAGAATTTTTTTAACCAATCTGTCATGAGTGGATAATTGATAAATGTGCTTGTCCAGCCGCGCCAGTGGCAAAGAACTCTTTCATCAGCAGTCAATGCTTTCAGGGAAATGTTGAGAAGAGAAGAGTTGCTATCAGAATCCCTCCTATCCATGAACCCAATTGATAAGATGGCTGACATATGTCCACCTTGCTACGGACCTCAAGTTCCTGGTACAAGAGCAGATGAACCTAATTATATTGTATGCATGGATGGAAACTTCCAGCATAGGAGGCATGAAGCAGCAAGTGTTGAAGTCCCAGGAATGCTCAAGACACCTAGTCTCTTCATAAAACCAGATGAAGTGGCCCAGATGGAATTGTCAATGAATCCGGCATTGCACAATGCTATTGAGGGTGACGTGGTGAGTCCAAATTGTAAAATAACTGTGATATCAGAAGATTGATTGATTTCTCAACATAATGAAAACCCAGGACCGATGTACTCAGCAGCACACTGCAGCGGATGATGTCAGATCTGGGAGAACCTGGAATGAGTGTGATGACACCGGCTTGTTTGGTATGGCATGTAGGCATGATCAGATGTTACAGATGATTAATATTGTCAAGAGTGGTGAGAAGTGTGTATTTTTTGAGGATTTTTTTTTTCTGTCATATCAAAATTTAATTAAATTACCTAACATACAACCAGAGCAATTTATCCCATGACCATGATTGATAATCTTATCCAAAAAACAAAAAACGAAGGAGAACTTAAACGATTGGGGATTCTGTACGATATTGGTTGCAATATTGAGAAGGGAATCATAAGGGTATGCATTGAACCTTTCAATAATACTTTGCAACAAAACACACGGACTGATTTAAACAATTTTAACAAGCGTCATCAATTTCCGGAAGAACGAGAATTAAATCTTTTAAAATTTGGGACCAGTGTATTCCACGCATATGTTCATGAATGGTCTTGCCAGCTACAATATAATCCAAGATTGAATGATGGTTGGGGGATGTCTGATGGCGAGGGATTGGAGAGGATCTGGTTGTTCTTATCACCTTTAATCAGTCCACTTCGATACTCTACCAAAAACCATTGTCTTGTTGCACTAAATATCCGGATGAACCATCACAATGATATGGGAAAGATTAATACAGGCATGGTTTCAATATTTTGATTATAAAAAATGATTTGAAATTAATGTGTAAAACCTTGCAGTTTGCTACTTGTTAGACCGAGGAAAACATGTCGAGCAAGTAATGAAAGATTCCCAGGATGTATTAAGAGCTCTTGAAGAACAGTCAGGGCTGCAATGGAACCATTTCAAGATTCAATGGGAGCGACAAAGGGAAATTCAACTTTCTACAATTGAGACTGCCACAGAAAAGGAGACCAGGGAACAAGTTGAAGAGTTGGTCCTTTTGGAAGATAAACTTCGAGAAACACAGTCAGTTTTATTATTATTCATGCTAGTGGTGTAATGATGTTGTCACATTAATTCATTGAATTCCTATTTGGAATTATTGATATAGTCAAGAAATGATTGAACTTCGCAACACTCGAAGGAGAAATAGGACTGACGCTCAGAACCGGCACCTACAACAACTTCCTGATACATTGGTCATGTTAGAAGGAGAGATTGAAAGTATTCTGGATGAACTTGGAACTGATTACTTTCAAAATTTACAAGGAGGTTCAGGTGTGTTTTATTTCCACAGACAGGCATACATAATGAATTGAAACTCCAAATTGATTTTGTTTAATGCATGTAGAAGCTGAAATTAAAGCTTTAATAAAAATCAAAATCGAGCAAATCAAAGCTTTATGAAGCCAAAGTGGGTGTC